AGACAACAGGGCTGCACCAGGCTGGGCTCTGACCTTCACCCTTTCTCCACCCTGGAGGTCTGCCAACAAGCCCGGCATCAGGCGGGGGCAGACCTCCCTGGTGAGAAGAGAAGAGGAAGTCTCAGTGGATCCCCACATGAGTTTTTGTGTTTGGGCCAAATGTGCTCAAAGGACTGGAAATGGGGGGTCTGGGGTCTGCTGCTTAAAATCTTAGGGTTAAGCCGTCTCCACAGGATGGGCCCGTTGGCAGAGGGGGGCTTTTCTTGAAGTTCCCTAGACAGTTGAATAATAGGGTCTTACATACATACATCCCACTCCCAGACACTCATAAGCCTCTAACGTCAGGGTCCTCCCCCCAGAATTAGCATCCAGGAAGGTTTCCTACCTAGAGTCAAGCTGGTCAGAGGGCACTCTGTTCCTAGGAGCTGAGGGGTCCAGGGAGGGAAGAGATGCCTTTGCTTCAGGGCGTTGGAAATGTGCAGGGGTGCCGGGCTGCAGCCCCATCCCAGAGGAGCCCCCATGTAATGAAGGAGACAGGACGTCCCCTCCCAACATTACCATTGTGTTGAGTGTCTGGGCAAAGTAACAGACACAGAGACAAAGGACAAGCAGAATGCTGAGGAACAAGGGGTACAAGATGACAGGGCAGCTGGGGAAATGGGGACGGGGATGTGTGGGAGGGGTGGACCCTGGAATGGGAAGGCCCCTGTGAGGGCCCAGAGGGAAAGAAGAGGTGTAGCTCAGGGACTGCTGGTGGACTCACCCGCCCCCCAGAACAAGGTCTGAAGAGGGCAGTCCCAAAAGGTGGGTTGCTGGAGGGGGGGTGAGGAAAGGCTTCTATAAAGTACCTTGAAGACCGTGATTGGGAGTTTCCATGAACAGGGATGTCTGGATAGGAAAGGGACAAGATGGAATGGGTGCTTCGTGGTGATAGTTCTAGGGAACAGTAAAGGGAGGGAGCCAAGGACAGAGAGGGGCTGGAGTCAGGGAGGCCATTAGGGAGGCTGCTGTGGGCACCCAGGCTGCCCGGGGGACAGAGGAAGGGGCGGGCACATAAGCCTGAGAGGAAGGGAACGTGGGTGCAAGAGGGACAGGCAGGGTCACGCGGGATGGGGGAGATGTGGGGTGGGGGCAGAGAAGCTGGGTTCGGGCTGGAAGGGAGAAGTTGCTCCCGACGGGCACACAGACTGTTTTAGGGAAGCGCAACAGCTCAGTTCACACTTCTTGGACCTCAGTTAAAGACGGAACACATCCGCCCGGTGCAAACAGGGAAAGGAGCCACGGGTGAGGAGACCTAGCCCACGCGATGGCCCATCTGTGGGAATGAAGACAGGAATCCTCCCGCCTTCCCAAACTCTGGAAGGGTGGAGGTACCAAAGCCCGGACTTGATGGCCGGACCGCAGAAGAACCAGGGAGTGGGCAAGGCCCAGGAGCCAGGAAGGGTGGAGGTACCGAAGCCCGGACTTGATG